CGCGAACGCTCGCGTCGATGTTAAAACGGTCCTATAAACCTCCACGAAACACTGCCGGCGACGTATACACGGGGCGTTCGCGATATTACTGTCCACTATTTTTCTTGCGAAACAACATTCGAATTTTCTACCTTAAACCACTCGGTCTCTCGATAAATAATAGAAATTATTAAACGTACGAAATTGCAGCTTTTCTTGATGTCAAGTTTCACAATTATGAGGCTACTAACTCGTCATCAAGTCTTATATATTAAAATCAATACAATTTTACATTCACAAAGTAGTCGTAAAACAAATCTATTCTTTTTCGTGGCCATTACTTGTACGAAAAAATTTAAACCAAATTAAACAGTATACGTTTGAAAAATGACATTAAATCGTACGTCAAGAGGTTAAAAATATTCTGCTATATTTTTCCAAACTCACAGAATGCCTATAGCGAAGATGAATCTTACACGTGTATTACTATGCAAATACTGAAATAAATAAAATGTAAACTGAAATAATATTAGCTACTTTGAATCAATTTAAATATTAAGTATTGTAATATGTCGTGTGTGAAAACGCGCCTTTGAACAATACGCGTGGTTTAGTGGTGGGGCGCGGCTGGCCTCGCGAAACCTCACGTTGAACGGCTCTCTTTTCGCTACGGATCCGTTATCGTGTCAACATCACCGTCTAAGGAAAGGAAAGGACTCGTCAAAAGGCTTCGACAGAACCGGGTAAGGATCTTCCAGCACAGGCAGCTCCAAATCCAAGAAGCTATTCTCCAGTAATCAAGGCCACCGTCCGTCGTCCATTATGTCATTGCATATCTAACGTATCGTTTTTGTATACCGCATATTTGATTATTTCGTATCCTGACCTCATAAACAATAATATTTATTACAAATCTTCTAAATTACTAGTAATAACAAAGTTACAAGAATCACAGTGGCTCTTACAGAGTTATTGTATATTGTTACTGGTCGCTTTGAAATTAAACACAGCATTTCCTGTCAGCAATCGTCAACGACAGCAAACTACAAGAAAAGGAAGCTGGATTTATTTTTCAAACGCAAACGAACTTGTTCTCGGGAAACAATTTAAGAAACCGTGTAGCCACAGTTCCCAGCGGAGTTCGGGTACGCGGCAGGAAAATACGAAAGGCGACAAAACACGTAGTTGAAAACTTTATAAGGAGGTAACCCGAAGGCAAGCGAGATTGTCCTTAAATCCTGGAGCCTTGAAACCAGCAAACGACCAAAATACACTCGGCGAATTTCAATTCACCGGCCAGCTATTGTTTCCCCCCCTCCGGCGTAACGCGGAGGCCGTGAGCACGGTTCTCGTTGTGCAGGCTCGTTCGGAATAACAGCCGTTTAATTAGCGACGCGATGAAGAAAGGAAAAGATGGAAAAAGAGAAGAACGGTGGGAAAGGGTGGAGAGCCCCGAGAAAAAAGAGACGACTCCGTTGGGTCGGTTATAGGATTTAGTAATGAAATCCGGACGAAGAGATTAGCAGCCACGGCGATACATCATTCCTACCCCCCTGGCCTAACGCCTCGACCGATGCTGCTTCATCGCGCATGCCAACTCCGTCCCTTTTTTCATCAGCAACGGTTTAACGCAGTGTTTCCCAACTTTTTTTCTTGCCCCGGTCCAACCGACTTTGCCCCGACGATCGTCCGGTGGGAATTATTCTCGAGCTGCTTTCAGAAACAAAAGAAACGTCGACAACCACAACTTGATTTGAGTTTTCTTTTTCTTCGTTGGACAATTTTTTGTGAGCCTGAATCTTCGCAGAATTAAGTGTATCATGTTTTCAATTAAAGAAGTTGCTAGTATAAATTATAGAAACCCAAATAGCGAAGCCTGTTAACTTGCAGGATGATTGGAGTCAAGCTCCTGCATCCTGAAAGGTAAAATAACAAAACTTGAGTTTTGAACCAAATTCCCAATACAAGCAGTGTTTCGTTATAAGTAACTTTCATTTACGTTAAGTAACCTGTACGCGGTCGAGGTTTATTGAAATCTCACCTGTAGGTTTAATCTACTTGTCTTTAACGACCCACGGTCGAAGTTACTGCAGGTTTGATTGATTGTCTTTCTAATGGGTAAGACCAACCAGACAAACGTCGATCAAACCTACAGATAAACGTCCGATAATCCTCTACGTGTATGGATTGCTTTAGATATAATCGAGGCACGGATTGGAGGAACAAAGGAGTATCGAGTTAACCATATTATCATAAGTTGGAATGCATTCTACAACCACAGACAAGATATACGAGTAGACCTTACATCAGGGACTAAGGAACAACATTTCGAACATTCTTAGAATTTCTAAATATTCTTCAACAAAATACGGCATCGTTTGCATATTGAAACTTTAAAATCCTCGAATTCGTTCAGGAGTTATGACATTTTAAATATATGCATGAAATTTCAAGGGAATCATTCATGTCTCTGGTCAGACATCGTATTTTCGATAAACAATTTTTTTCTTGAAAGTAGATAAGAGTTCGGTGATATGTCTATTCACCAAAAAGGCTTGTAATTGACCCCATAACCAAAAATAATTTTTTCAGAATGATTTGAAACTTTTTAATTTCCCCGAAAAATTTCACCACTTACTGAATTTTTTTCTCGAAAGTGCATAGGATTTTGGGGGTATATGTTTTCACTAAAAATGCTTGTAATTGACCCCCGGAACCGAAAATAATTTTTCTATAACGATTTGAAATTTTCTTTCGCCGAAAAATTTAGGCACTACCCCGTCGATTTTACTTAAAAATTCATTTTTCATTTTTAAGAAATTTGTTTGAGGCGCTACGGAAATTTTGTCCAATACTTTTTTGTAGATACCCATGAGCTCTACTTCAGAAAAAAGTTTCATTGAAGTATATTCACTATTGTAGGACTTATGGCTGTTTGAAAATTCGACCATTTTGATAGGGTTTTCCTCATTTTTCGGGGTTAAGGAGCAACTTTTCAAATATTTTTGGAATGTCTACATATTCTCCATCAAAATACGCGTAGTTTGCATTTTGAAACATTAAAATCGTCCAATCCATTCAGAAGCTATGACATTTTAAAGATTAGCATGAAATTTCAGGGAAGCCTCAGATTATATTTTCGGTAAGGAATTTTTTTCTCGAAAGCGGGTAGTATTTCGGGAGGATGTCTATTGACCAAAAATGATTATAATTGACCCCAGCAACCAAAAATAAGTTTTTTAGAACGATTTGAAAATTTTAAATTATGTCGAAAAATTTCACACCTTCTCGAATTTTTTTCTAGAAAGTGGGTAGGATGTCGGGGGTATGTCTATTCACCAAAAATGATTGTAATCGACCCCCGCAAGCAAAAATAATTTTTTCAGACAGATTTGAAATTTTTTAATTTTGCTGAAAAATTTGTCCACCTGCCCCCTGTCGATTTTTTTTAAAAATTCGTTTTTGATTTCTAATAAATTTTTTGACTATGGAAATTAATAATCATAAAATTGTGAGCGACCGATCCAAGCGTCCCTGACTGGGAACCCCTGGTTTAATGCCATCTCTCGGAACGACAAAGAGGCAGAGAGGGTGAAGGAATGGCAACAGACCCCGCTAATGCCACAATTTCATCGTTCCTTTTCCTCCTCTGGTTCCAGAGACTTTTCTCCCGTCCGCCGCGCCCTAATGATCACGGGTTCGGTCGCGAGCCGCGCCGCGCAAGGAGGAAAAACTTTTGGTCGTCTTCCAATAAAAGTTTCCGCCGCGTGTTTTCTGGTACGACGGTGAATAAACGTTCTCGGCGATTATGGCGCGCCGCTCCGACTACCGGCGGAACTTTGTTAATACGACGGATCGATGAGAAAACTTCTCTTCCGGCGAGGGGGCGGGCTGGAGGGAGGGCGAGGGGGGGCAGAAGGGGGATATATTGATGGGGGGGTGCGGGATGTGTACGTGCGCGCTTTCGCGGAGCTTGGTGTATACGTGAGATTGATTGGCGAGTATGTATAATGCGATTGAGTTCGACGAGTTCGTGGCTCGTTCGAGCTCGCTAAGAAACTTTTCCCCGGGGAAAATTCTGATTTTGATCGATCGGGGACACCCGCCGCCGGCCACGGGAGATAAAACACCCGACTGGAAAAATTCCTTCCACGCGATTTCCCTCGCGAAATTACCTCTGGGAAGAATATGTTTTCTACTTAGGCTGCTTTGATCCTCTGGCTATCGTTGCGCCACCCCCTACGAAAAGTACATTCTTCGCGGCTTTGTGGATCACCGATGCCGTGGCACGGGAATATTTGTGATTCTAAAACAGGGTTCACGACGACTGCCAATGTTTCTACGTTTTTTGCGCATTTCTAATAAAACTGCTTTACAGAAAGTTCTCGCTAACGACCGCGACGCGAACGTTATCGAGGGAGATACTACGATTTCGTCCGATTGGTTCTTCACGTTGTAGATGAAATAATTTTTAATTAAACAAGCGAAAGACAAGGAAGACGCTAATTCTACCTCGTTTGCTCTATTTTTTGTTTACTTTAACAGTTTTTCAATTATTCCTGCTGCCCACGTTCCCTTCTATAATGCAAATACAATTGGATGGGTCTTTTGCTTAGAAGGGAGTTAATTTCACCTAGCGTTCCTCCCTATGGGCCGCTCGTTCCCGCGAGTACCATTTTCAGAAAAGGGTTACAGCAATTAAGCTGGCTGACGTAATATCTCAGCAACCAGTGGGCCGATTAACTTGAAATTTGATACAATACAACCTGGATCTACTCTAACCAGAATAAAAAGAGCCAAAAAAAAGCTTAAAAAACTCATTTTAAAGCGGTTAGCACCCTTAGTTTAGAAATTAGCAACGTGTTAAGCTTTGTTTGTTCATCCAGCTTTTTCTAAAATACCCTATGACTTTGCGAACTTGTGCTTCCTTTGGTTCACGCGACAAATATAAATACAAGTATAAATTCTGGATCGTCGAATTAACGAGGAGGCGAAACTTGCACGCAAGGTCGCGTTCTTACCTTTCCTGGCCTTGTCCGGCGAGGTGGGCGAGTCCGCATTCACGTGGATCGCGGCTACAGGCGGGCCAGAGGATAAAGTCGACGAGGAGACCGCCGGTGTACAGGATGCAACAGGACTGCTGGCCGCCGTTATTGGCAGCAAAAGTTTCCTCTTATGGTTGCAAAGCTTGGTCATCTCCTGCGTCTTGCCCTGATCCGGGCTCCAAGGTCGTGTCGCAACCTGTAACAAGAACATAGAGCACTCGTTACTGGCTCGAGGAGGATCGATTCGAGTCGAAGCGACTGGAAACCACGGACAACGATCGCGCGCAACATCGTCGTGTCACGTGGTCGTCGAGTAATCATGGCGAAAATTCGCACAGTGACGACAATATTAACTAGAATTGACAGACTCGCGCGTTTCTATTCAAATCATAAAACAAATCCTTCTATTCATAACGAACGCGGTAGACAAATTACTCATCGACTGTGGGTTTGTGATTTCTCTATAACGCCTATTTTTGTCCGATACAGGTGAAATTTTGTTTAGATGCTCCTCGTGTTTCGATGGAAAGTATAAAGCCTCGAATGTAATTTTGTTGCTCCTGAATTCCGTCTTATTTTAAGATTTTTGACACATCGTCGTGTCACGTGGTCGTCGAATAATGATGGCGAAAATTCTCACAGTGACGACAATATTAACTAGAATCAACAGACTCGCGCGTTTCTACTCGAATCTTTAAACAAATCCTTCTATTCGCGACGAACGCGATAGACAAATTACTCATCGTCTGTGGGTTTGTGATTTCTCTATAACGCCTATTTTTGTCCGATACAGGTGAAATTTTGTTTAGATGCTCCTCGTGTTTCGATGGAAAGTATAAAGCCTCGAATGTAATTTTGTTGCTCCTGAATTCCGTCATATTTTAAGATTTTTGACACCTGCGATCAATATATACTTCGTAGCGTATAAAGTTAAATTTGTTCGTGTTATTTTCTCGAGGGAACGTTCTGCAATATCGGCGCCACGCATTCATAATTTCTCGGTTTGGTCGTATCAGTTCGTAAATAGCGGATTTGAGCGAAAAAAGTCTCGTAAAAAGCCCCGCCCGTACTTTCGGGTTATAACGTACGAAGTTTACGAGGATATAACCTTTTGCCATTTGTTCGAGCGATCTCGGCGCAAGCCCTGAGACACAGATAATAGAGATCGACTATACGACCGGGGGACATTGAAATAAAGAGACGGAATCACGTAATGAAACAAATATTCCGTCTGCGACCTACTTTGCCGGTCACGAAACGAACATGGTTTCGCCGTTCTTTCGTGCGTGTCCGTCGCAGTAAAGTAACGCCGCCGCATTATGCATCGAACGCTTAAATTCCGTTTATTGGAACAATTTGTCGAACACTTCGATAATTAACCAATTACGGGTAATTGCAATCCCACGCGCGTGTCGCTTTTGTACACAAATAATTCGATTTGCAAACAACTTTCCCTTCATTCGCGTAAACTGGTCGCCATTCTGAAGACAACAATAACGCTGGCGAGCAAGAATAGGTTGAGTGTTAAATGTTTTACAACTTTACACGGTTCCATCTATAGCTTTTCGTTCGATTTTCCATTTGGACAATTTAGAAATCAATCGGGTAGGAAATATTCTATTTATAGTATAACTGTTAGGAGGGCTCATAAAATATTAAGTTAAAAATTTTAGTTATAATCATAATTCTCATAAAACTACAGAATACAAAATGCAGATATGCAAAAATATGAGAAATAAAATAAGATACGAATTATTATATTTAGGGGTTGAGACGACCCTTTGCAAAGCTCCTATGTTATTAATAAAAATATGAATTTGCCTACTTATAATGCTTTATTTTCGGGATAATTGTATTCGAAAATTTGTCATATTCGACTAGACTGGGCGCGTCTGTCCATCACTCACTGTTTCTACTTGTGCCGATGCTCGAATCGGACCGTCATTACTTCGTACGAAAACTGTGTCTCTTTACTTTTCGATTTATTGCTCTGGTTGTACCGCGAATAACGAGAAAACAATTGCACCACAACAAATGTTTCGTTACATTAACAACCTATAAACAATATTTGGCATACACGTTCGAACGAGCCTGGTCATTCGTCTCTGGAGACAGGGGCCCGGTACCAGGGGGACCCGGTCGAGCGTACAGTAAATACGTTTCCAACGATTGCTTAACAATTCGTCATAAAAATAGCTCCGCGAGCCCGTCAATTACGAGCAAACGATTTATCTACGTTTGAACCGTCGAATTCGAAGTTGGCCGCGTACCATCGGTGCACTTCGAGGCGGCGCGGTGCAACGACGTTTAAAAAGTTGCGTTGCAGCCACGTCGCGAATGCAGGCCGACAAAAAACTCGCGACGTCGGCGGCGGAGGATCGGAAATTAACGACGCCCACGCACGATGAACGCTAAAAATGATGAACCGCCTGACTCGGTACGAGGCTCCTCTGTCCCCGACGCGTCGTCTTATTTACGGTGGTTGGTAATGGCACTGTGTACGCAGCCGTAAATTGCCGCGGAACGTCTCACGGACTGACACGTAACACGGTGAAGTCCTGGACGGCCATTACGGGGCATCGGCCCGCGGCCTTCCAACTTGGACACGTTTTAACTGTGCACACCGGCATCGCGCATCGATCATGAGATTCATGAGCATCGCCGTTCGAGGTCTTCTCATTCCTCCCTCCTCTCTCTCGCCGTCTCCCCCGTTTCACTCCCTCTTTTGCCCTCGTTCCTCGCCGTGTGGCCCTTTTCGACGTTCTGGTTCGCTTTCGCGCTCGGCTACGGAGCTGGCGTTCGCCAATTATGGCGAGACAACCGCACCGGCGAAATCTCGCCCGGCGAAACGAGCCAGATTATCTGGAGTTTTAGCCGTGCCCGAAGGTGGTCCCGGGCATTTCGAGGCTGTTACGTAACGAGCGTCGCTCCGAGGTACGCGACGAGCGTTTTGTTCGCCCGGATTGCGAGATCCTTACGGTCGCCTTTATTGGCGGTTTCTTTGTGGAGGTAATGATACAACCGAACGAGGGAATAAAGCGGCGAGGGAGGCAGGGGATTTGCATAACCTGTCCGATTGTGGGTCGATAACACCGAACCGGTCGCGGTATTGATATTTTGATGCGTGTATGGTTAATATTCACGCCCTCGCGACCGTCTAATCGGAAGAAACGCGTCTGGTTACTGCAATTTATTATACGATAGCTGGAATTATTATAGATTCGTATGTTTTTTGTTCTTTATGAACATTCTTCAAGTCTTGACACCGTTCTGCAAACATGTAACAATGTTACGCCACAACGCAATTTCTTCAAAAATCTGTAAGAAATCAATTTTGTAAAAAAAAATCAAAATTGTAAGAAATCATTCAAGGTATTATTTTCAAAGAATGCTGTAAATTTTGGAGCTTTTTTTTCGAAGTTAATGTAGAACTGTAATTTTCGAATACTTTGTAGTTCAGACCTTTTGAGAAGGGTTAGGTTATTTTTTTAACCCCTTATCATGCAATAACGAGCCTGACTCGTTGCAAGTTCTTGATGTCAAGTTTCACAATCATGAGGCTACTCACTCGTCATCGAGTCTTACATATTAAAATCAACACATTTTTACAATTACAAAATATTCGTAAAACAAATCTATTCTTTTTCGTGGCCATTCCTTCTAAGAACAATTTTAAACAAAATTAAATAGTATACGTTTAAAAAATTATTTGAAATTAAATGTATGTCAAGGGGTTAAAGGATATGGATCTTCCCAACCGAAAAATTGCAACAGAACTTCAGAAATCTATAATCTAGTGACCAATGCAATAACAAGTTGCGTTTTTAACCTCACTTGTTATTTAATAATTATCTTTTTCACACATTGATACAATGCAACGATCTCTCAGGCAATAATCAATGTTCTCCTGTAATTATGAGTCTCCAGCAGCAACGTGTTTGCACTTTGAAAAACTAGTTTCATAGAAATAACTTTAGAAAGTGTATAGTTAGACTCCGAGGAAAAGGAACTCGCTGAGTAGTGCTCCCCATCAGCGAGTCGAACTATAGACCCATAGTGACGTCCAAGTCACTTAGTAGTTGTGTATTAAGAATAAGGAAATATCAGTGTAACAAGATGGTGACATTTCCTATAATCCTTACAATAACTGTTTTACTATCCCAATCAAGTCTATGTTGAAATTATGTTACAATTATTCAATTACATATTACAGATATCTTCAAAGTTATTTTTCCAAATCTCGATATAACAAAACTCAGTATAGCCTGTGTTTGCCTAGAAGGGTTTTATAAAGTTCTAAAGTTAATTCCATCAGACTAGTTACTCAAAAATGCAGTCACGTTGTTATGTATAGTTGTTGTATATTCTTTTATTTGTTGATTGTGCAACTATCGTTGGAACATCCCGTACAATAAACTTCTATGTCAAAAGGAGCTGCTTAACAGAGAGCTTCGCGGGCTTGTAAATCCCGCTTACGATCGATACGCGATCGAATGTCGAACTGCGGATTAATGTCGTACGACTGTTTCAATCGAGAAGATTAAATAACGACAAGTCACGCGTAACAAAACGATATAAATAAACAGCAGATCCTTGACTGATGCACGATGCTGAGAATTTTACATACAGGAGCTCTTCCATGCGAGTAAACGGAAGAGTTAGGCACGATTCTTATCTAGATGAACATTTTGTATTGCTCATTGAACTGCATAGAGACATTGTATCGAATATTTTTTCTTATTTACTTTTGGTTGTAACGCTCGCTTGAAAAATAAGTGATTGCTTAACTCGTTAAGGTTTGTAAAAAAGATGTTAGAAGAGCGCTATGGAGATTAAACGCTGTGAAAGAACGCAATTCATATTGGAAAAAAAGATAAAAATCTTGAACACTATCTGCCTGCGAGATAAGCGATCGCCTTCGTTAAAATGTTGAAGGGAGCTCAATACGACGCAGCGCCTGTCAAAAAGTGAGGAATAGTTATAATTATCTTAATCTGATCAATGTCAGGAACAGAAGCCCTCTCCGAGGTTGTTTGCGATAATAATTCGATAAAGCGGTATCTGCGTCGTCATCGTGTATCCCGCGCGGTTAAAAGATTTTACATAAATCGTTTAACAGACTCTACACGTTCTTTCTCCGGCCTGGTAAATTGCTCCAAAAAAATTACATCGTCGACAAGGAAATAATACATTAAA